TGTAACACTCCAAAGAGAAAGGAAAAATTGAAATCGCATCATATGACCCCTTTAAATCCCGTCTGATAAGCGCACGTCCTTGTACGTCTTAGGTCATTAAGCGGTCTTTTGTGGCTGCTCAAATGCATTCGACCACATTAGCGTCTACACCACGAAAGCAATCCGGTCGTATGCGTTTTCGACTACCTCTGGAAGTGGTCGAAAGTGGATAAGCTCAAAACGTTTTACACTTTTATTTAGCGTTGTCCACTTGTGATCCGATCTACCAAAACGCATCTTAATACCAAGTGTAAACAGGAGTTCCAAAAATGGAATGAACAGCCTTGCGTTCTCATCATGACCGATTTACAAGAGCCACATTGGACAAACGAACCGAAAGCGGAACTACGCAGCGCAGACCGTTTATCTACTCGGTCTGGAGCCACGGACTGATCTCGATCACGCGACACCATTATACACAGCGCTGGGAGATACAGTGAAGAAAGAAGTTCAATTCACCGCAGAATCAATAACATCTCTGTGAAATCTTGTGAGAAGCATTCAAATTCGGCGCAGAATTCTGTTAAAGCTACAGATATCAGAACAAATGCCGCTGATGTGGAAACCAGGAAAACATTGTTCAATAAACACAATTCACCACCATTCACCATGGATTTAACATGGTTTTACAGGAACAACTTGTGGCAGAAATGGTCTAATGTTTTGAAGTGTTTTTAAATGCTTCACACAACTTTTCCCAGCACTTCAAAGCTTTAAGTATTACCGAATTTGAAAGTTATTTTTAATGTGATGACATTATTTGTTCATCCTTCATAGGTTGCCCCCATTTATAAAATTAAAAGTTTCATAATGTAGGAAAGCAAAGACTTATTTAAAAATAAAAAATACATTAAATTATAACGAGTAGGTGGCTGCAGAGAAGTACTTATAGGCTTATCAGCCATTTCCACTCCCTAATAGCCTATATATTTTTTGTATTTATTAAATTTTGAATGAACATTATGAATGACAGTAATAAAAGGTATATTTTCACTGCAAAACAATAAGATATGCCGCAAATATCAGCGCAAATTTTGAGAAAAGCCGCAGCAAAATCGGTCATTTTAGGGACTGGATAATGTAATCATCTTAAATCTATATATCTAAATCTATATCCATGAATTGTTTTATTTGGTAAGTAGCTGTTCAAAATGTACAGATATTCTGTCATTATCATATAATAAACCCCTCTCGGTGTGACAAGACCATGACAGGACGGATAACCCGGTCAAGATTTATTTTGTGCTAGCTTGCATATAAAACATGGTGTTTCATGCTTTGTGCACAATGTGTGCTCAGTGCATACATGTACAGTATGTGTGCATGCGCTGCCTCCTGGACAGGCGACATCCAAAGTGTGTTACCATGGTAACAAGTTAGCTAGAGCTACAATCGAGCGGGCGATGGTAGCACTCACTGCAAGCATTTCAGAATACACGCACACTGGAACACATTTTGTGCGATGCTTTCCATTGCCAACTAACTGCATGTAGACGGCTAGATGCCCTTGTAGAGGCTGCTAAGCCATCTGTTGTGTGTTTTTTTCATCTGGGCCTGCAGCGCAAAACAGGGAGGATGCATGTATTTGAGAGTTAGAGGAGAGGTGTTTGGATTCATGTATTTAATCCAGACAGAAACATGACTAGCCAGAAGGGGGATTGGGTGTTAAAGTATCGCTCATTAACTTTGGTTTTCCCCTCCAAAACCCACCCCATACTCATTGCCTATGCATCACACATTAACACATGCACATACGAACAGCACACACACTTGGCAGCAAGAGCCAACGTCTCTCTCCCACCACCTTCCCAGAAAAGCAGCATCATCAGGGACCAGGGTGTGGCTGTGTTTGTGCCTGCATAGACTCCATGACATGTGGCAATCACACTGTA